CCTGCTCACTTCAGAAACACATCCCATCCCTCAGAGGTAACAGAAGCAGACCTCTATTGCTATTTACAGCTCTGACACTCTTTTGTCATCTCAGAATACTCCTAAGGAAAATAACAGCAGTGTTGCTCCCAGCATAGGGCTGTTCTACAGCATTGCCTTTGGCATTACCCTGTTCCCTCCTCCTGATTAGCTTCAGTTTTCAGTTTCTTCACAGCCAACAAATTTTGGCCTCATTCTCAGTCTCCAGGAAGGTAGGAGAAGGATTAATTGACCAAATCAAAAGACCATCAAGGTATGTCATTATTTTTGCACTAAGCTCAGCTGTCTTGACTTCTGCAATCTGGCACAAGTGGAATATGAAGCACGCACTGGTCTTGAAGATCCAAGTCTCAGTTTTCATTTTACATCTTCTGGAATGCATAGCTGGACATTTTTGCTTGTATGCAGCTCTACAAACTGCATACAAAGAGAATGTTATAAATATCATCAGCTCCTTTTTCTGCATTTGACCTGTTCAGATATCTCTGTGAAGTGATTAAGCACAAACAGAAAGGAAACCAAAATGCCTGTGTGGAAGGGAGAGGAAAAAAATCAAGAATCCTGGTAGCATTTATGCCTTTCCATCCAGTTAGATACATGGGAATCACATGGGAATCACTTATATTCTGTAATGCAGTAAGTCCGTGGGAAGTACAGTTCTTCTACCTTTATTTCTAGAAAACAGTTCCTGTATTGCCTTTGTAGAAAGTAGGGTAACAACATACTGTCCTGCATTAGCAAGATTGTCAAGCAAGATTGCATTACCAAGTTAGAAAATCAAGAAATGTGATTATTCTGCATTAATTCAACACTGGTAATTTTACCACTTGTATACAATGTGCAGTCACACACTGAAGTACAAGAGATTTTAAGTATCTGGGGAGGAGCCTGCTTAAAGCTGCTGAAATCATCGGGACCTGCAGTGAATGAAACACATCTTACTACAGTCTTCCTCTATCGGAGATAATGGTGAACATGAAGCTAACTCTTCTGAGAATAGGCTAAGACAACAGGAAAATGTTAAAATCACAAGGGGATGTCTGACTGCACAAAAGTTACATAAAACAAAACAAAATTCTGTAGTGGGAGAACTCAGATATTACTCAGATATTATTGCTGTGCTAAATGATGGTACACACTACAGGATTACAGCATAGTGCATCAAGTATTAATCAAGCAAGCAACACTTACCTGTTTTAGGATAGCCTGCTAGAATCACATCACTGCTCCTGGTTTCAAAGGATTTCAGAGCTTCCAAAGTTTCTGGACTGCTAAGCACAGCAGGATACAGAATATCATCATAGGAAAACAGCAGATCTTCTGGGGAAGTCTTTTCATTCTCTGAAAAAACATTTTCTATAATTTCAATGACTCTTTCCCTATTTCTGCTCATGTTTATAACCCCGTGAAGCTTTTCTCAAGCAGAGATACAAGCTGTCTTTTCACAGTGCAAGAGAACTTTATACAGTGTGTTAGGAAACTGGAAAGGGCATTCACTCAGAAATGAAGATACACATCACTCATTAACTCAATTTGAACTGTTATCCCCTTTCAAAATAACAGGACAGGAGACAAATAGCAGTGACATGGAGTCGCTACCATGCCTGAAAATACCAAGAGTAGTCTGTTCTTTACAAAGCATTACTGCTAGGGAAGCAACAGCAATATTGGTAGCATTCAAAACATTGAATGAAATAAGGGAAGGACCTACAAAGGTCATAAAATACTGCTTAAAATATTTTTAACAGCTGAGCTACGCAATGTGATTTCTGAACAGAATGACCAGCATATAGTAGTTATGTAGATAGTAGATCTTAATCTGATTTGCTACTACTCCACTAATGAATGCAACTTTCTTCCAGGTGGTGGCTCTATTTTCAGTCAATCATTGTAACATCATTGCTTTATGTGATATACTGAGAGCTAAAGTCAAGTACCGCCTAAATCATACTTCTCATGATTAAATAATCACATCTGAGATCTTTTACTTCACCATTTCCTACAGGAAGATTGCTTTCATGTGAAACTCAAATACTTATGTTCTACAACTACATTAGTCAAATTCATCTGTATGTCATCAATTCTATTTCTTTCTATACCTGTCAATAGTTCAATCTTTGGTTGAAATTGTTCTTACATGGGGGGAAGTTATTTGAATCCTGGCTCATGCCTCTTCAGAATACCTAAGAAGTAGTATTTCCTAACATCCAGCCTGAATCTCCCCTGGAGCAACTTGAGGCCATTCACTCTAGTCCTGTCACTGGTTACACAAGAGGAGAGGCTGACCCCCAGCTCACTACAACCTCCCTTCAGGTAGTTATGGAGAGTGACAAGGTGTCCCCCAAGCCTCCTCTTCTCCAGACTAAGCAACCCCAGCTCCCTCAGCCGCTCCTCAAAAGGCCTTCCCAGGGGTCGTCGCCCTTCTCTGGACATGCTCCAGGGCCTCAATGTCTTTATTGCAGTGAGGGGCCCAAAACTGAGCACAGTACTCGAGGGGCAGCCTCACCAGAGCTGAGTACAGGGGAACAATTATTTCCCAGCTCCTGCTGGCAACACTATTTCCTTTACAAGCCAGGATGCCATTGGCCTTCTTGGTCACCTGGGCACACTGCTGAATCACATTCAGCCAAGCTTCAATCAATACCTCCAGGTCCATTTCCGCTACACAGACACTCTGCTCCAAGCCTGTATCATTGCCTGGTATTCTTGTGGCCAAAGTGCAGGATCCGGCACTTAGTCTTGTTGAATTTCACCCCTTTTGTTCCAGTCCAGCAATCCAGCCTGTCCAGATACCTCCACAGGGCCTCGCTACCCCTTTGCAGATTGACACTTCCAGCCAACTTGGTGTAATCTACAAACTTACTGAGGTACAGTCAATGCCCTCATCCAGGTCGTCAATAAAGATATTGAAGAGGACAGGCCCCAGCACCAACCCCTGCAGAAAACTACTCATAACTGGTTGCCAGCTGAATTTAACTCCATTCACCACCACTCTGTGAGCCCGGCCTTCCAGACAGCTCCTTATCCAGCAAAGAGTGTACCTTTCCAAGCCATGGGCTGCCAGCTTCCCCAGGAGACTGTGTTGAAGGAGTCTTGCTCCAATTTATAGGAAGGAGTTCAAGCTGTGCTTTTGCCTTTCTAATTTTGCCCCTGCACATCCTAACGTCTTTGTACTCTCCAAGTTGCCTGTCCTTTCTTCCACAGGAGGTAGATTCTCTTTTTCTCCTAGAGCCTCAGAAAAAGCTCCCTGTTTATCCACGCCTGTCTTCTTTCCCAACAGCTCATCTTATAGCTCAGGGAGTTAGCCTGTTAGTTGTTAGCCTGTTAGTTCCTCTGCCTTTAAGACTTCCTACTTGAGGAGCAACCAACCTTCCTGAAGCCCTTTACCCTCCAAGAGTAAATCCTATGGGACCCTCCATGCTAGTTCCCCAAAGTATTATAAAGTATTATTTCTAGCATTCCTGTGCCTTTGCAAAATTCTGCATTACTATTTATGTGGGCAGCCTTGAGTATCTTTAGAAGAATAAAGAAAAAACTTAATGAACATTTTATTCTTTCCTATTGCATCTGTAATTTTTACTTCTTAGGTGATGTATCTATATATTGCTTGGGTCCCTATCACCTTTTTTTTCAAATTTCAACTATTCTTAAAGAGCCTTCTTTTGTTGTTGTTTTTTTTCCTCTTCACAGAACAAGTGGCTGAAGTGCAGATGGACCTTGAGCAGGTCTGAAATATTGTGTTTGCAGTATCAAATATCAGTGCTGACACAAAATAACTGAATACTGTAATGTCTTCCACAATCCCGAGAACAATCCCATATGCTTATTAGAGCCACTTACAAAGCATTTTGGCATTTTTGGAGAATTTTCAGTTATGAAAATTAATCTATTTAAATTTATAGGCATTAATTTAAATTAAAGCTTAAATGTAGACTTGTTGCTAAATCAAGAATGAACAAAGGGAATGCTAAGTATAGTTCTGTGGTTAAGAGCACTCCACTGGCTTTAATGGCAGGAAACATAATTCAGGTCTATATCCTCTACCTCTTTTGCTTTATTGTTGTCTGTAGCAGGGAAAACAACAGCAGTTCTCAGAAGAAGCACAAAGGTCTATAGATTAAGGAGTATCTTCAAACACAAGAAAAAAACATCGACCCCATGATTTTCTTTTTACCAACTTTTATGCAGGTAGAAACATTGTTTCCAGTGGACCAAGAGAAAATGTATATGATATAAGAATGAAAATTAATTTGAGATTTTTGTTCTGTTCCACAAAGAGAATTATTATACATAAAAATGCTTCTCATTGCATCTTGGCTGTTAATACCAATCTGTAATCTGAATTTCAGCTTGAAACTCTACACTCAGATTAAAGTCCTTAAAAATGATGACTGCCATTCCCTTTCATTATCTTCCCTCTAGTTTTTATCCAGTTTGTGCTGAAGTCACAGGGAAGATGTTCTTCTTCATCGTTAATTAAGGCTATGTCAGACATGTATTTTGATAGTGATCTTAATTGTGGAGATCTTGCAAGATTGCAAGATTGTCACCTGATCTGAGGCATTTTTGGAAGAAAAGAAAAAAAAGAAAGAAGGAAAAAAAAAAAGAGATCTCCACGTGCTAAATAACCCTATGTAAATTATCTAGAATGACTGAGTTTGCCTGGAAAGCGAAAAAGTCCATTTCCTTCCATGTGGCAGCTACTGAAACAAGCCTGTCAAGTTGATCTGAATATAGTTAGTTACCATCATATTCAGCAAATGAATGTAGCCAAAGCAAGATCTCACATTTATTTTAAAAAGCCAGCTATTCGTTGTTGTCATTGTAAAAGTTCCTGCAAGGTGACTTTTACAATGATTCCGAGATGCTTTGATTGTTTCATTTAGCTTTTTATTGTATATCATTCAGATGATCAAAGAGCACAGTGGAAAGCTATTGGTCTAACCACATTTCATTACTCTTCAGGCTTTGCAGTACACTTCATACTTTAATTTTGCTCCTAGTTTCGTTCGTGCTATACGTTCTGCAAATACTTTGTCCATTTTCTGATTCTGCTCTTCATTGAAAAGATTCTTCCAGTCACTTACACCACCTTCAAAGAAGCAAATAAACTCTTGAAAAACAAGAAATCGTATTTCTCAGTTATATACATAAAGTGTAACACTTTATAATATATGGGCAAAAAATAAGCCAGTGATGAATGGCTTAGGTTCTTGAGAGTATCATGTTTCTGCCTCTGGACCTCGAGAAGCTCCTTACCTTTGCGAAAGAGCATGCGGCCCAGAGCCCCATGGGTCTTCAGAGAGTTCTCCTTCATGGACTGGAAACTGCTTCTCTCTACCACACTCCGAAGCTCTTCCCCAGTCAGGGAAATCCCAAGGAAAGAGGCAAAGTTTTTCACTCCCAGGGCTCGATTCTGAAAAGAGGAATGTAAGATACCATATGACATTCAAACAAATTACACTGCTTTCTTACCAAAACTCTTTCAAGGCCCAGCAACTCTCAGTTGGCTGCATATTTAGAGTTTTGAGTGTTCAGCAGGACTGGAGTGCTATGTATTGTTTCTCTTTGTTATTCTAAAGAAAACATAATCTGTCTTCCTGAATATCACAGAAAATTGCATATGATTTACAGTTGAGCCAAATCTACACTGCTGAATATACAAAAGCTCCAAAAAAGAATTACTGGGGATTTTGACTTAAAATCACTTGGGGGAGAGAAGGCAAGAATTATGTTTACACACACACACACACACACACACAAAGGCTTACAAGCTAGAAATCCACCTTGTTGTCCTCTAAAAGAAGAATCTGACTCATACATGTATCATGCAGTTTTTATACACTATATGTGTATAATGGTTTACTGGCTTAGAAACAATTACTCTTTGAAGCGTAAAATATGGAAGCGTAAAACATGGTGAACGGAAATAAACCTAGCTGGTAACCAGTCACAAGTGCTGTTCCCCAGGGATCAGTATCGAGGCCCATCCTGTTCAATATCTTTATTGATGGTGTGGATAAGGGAATTGAGTGCACCCTCAGCAAGTTTGCAGATAACACCAAGTTGGGATGAAGTGACCATCTGCCTTGGAGTGGGAAGGACCTACAGAAGGATCTGGACAGGCTAGATCAATGGGATGAGGCCAACAGGATGAAGTTCAACAAGACTGAGTATCAAGAGCTGCACTTTAGCCACAACAACCCCTAGCAATGCTACAGACTTGAAGCGGAGTGGCTGGAAAGCTGTGTGATGGAAAAGGATCTGGGAGTGTTGGCTGATGCTCAGCTAATTGTGAACCAGCAATGTGCCTAGGCAGCCAAGAAGGCCAATGGCATCCTGGCTTGTATCAGAAATAGTGTTTGGGCCCCTCACTGCAAGAAAGACATGGAGGCCCTGGAGTGTGTTCAAAGAAGGGCAACAAAGCTGTGAGGTGTCTGAAGCACAGGCCTTATGAGGAGTGCCTGAGGTAACTGGGATTGTTCAGTCTGGAGAAGAGGAGACTCAGGGGAGACCTTATTATTCTCTATAACTGCCTGAAGGGAGTTGTGGTAAGGTACAAGTTGGCTTTTTCTCCCACTTAAGTAGTGATAGGGCTAGAGGGAATGACTTCAAGTTGTGTCAGGGGAGGTTCATTTTGGATGTTAGGAAATATTTCTCCTCCAAAAGAGTGGTCAGATGTTGAAACTGGCTGCCCAGGGAGTGGTGGAGTCACCTTCCCTGGAGGTGTTCAAGAAACATTTAGATATTGTAGTAAAGGAACATGGCTTAGTGGGAAAATATTGGTGGTAGGTGAATGATTGGACTTAATGATCTTGGAGGTCTTTTCCAACCTTAATGATTCTACAATTCTATATTTCTTACCATTGGTAACCTTACCTCTTTTAGTTCTTCATATGTTATTGTCATAACATTTTCATCAGCAGCATATTTGTTCCATTCAGAAAGGTAATTGAAGTAGGATCCCCAGGGCACTAAATAAAACAAAATAATCCTAAAATGAAGAATAACCGAACATAAGAAAAGCTCCTTATTATATTAATCAATTTTTACTCTGTAAGTTGATCCTTAAGCCACGGCCATTAGTAATCATGGCTCTGCCAGAGTTTAACCCATTCTGGAAGATTTATAGATCTTTGCAACACACACAGTCTAGAGCCAGCAGGGTAAGTTCTCTTACCAGCTCAATGTGGCTCTAAAGGATCTGTCACCTTCCCTAAAGGATCTGCCTGCTAATTCCACTTGTGCTGCAAAAAATATGGGGTCCAATCCCTTTTTCACCTGTATTGCAGGACCTCTTTTTAGGCCAGATCAGCTTCCTAGATGGTCCACAACTTCACAAACAGTTGTACTGGAACAAGCTGAGGGCAACAGTGGGGCAGAAGCACATTGTTGGGATCAAAGGCTGGCTATGGCCAGTACCCACAATAAAAACAAAGAAGCCAAGGAAAAGTCTGCAGAAGCCCAGCTTAGCTGGCTCTGTGTGAAACGCATCTCAGTGAGATGATGCAATTTGAACGACAATATGTTGAAACTAGTCAGTATTTCAAGTCAAATGTGAGTCTGCTGAAATGCTATCAATACTCAATACAGAATGGAAACTTAATCCTAAAACCTTAATTCGAAAGCCTTATTTAACCCTCCCTTCTGCAAACCATGTGATATGGCAACCTGGAGAACTTACATAATTATAAAATAATGAGATTTGTTTTCTGTTCTTTTGTTGTTTTTTTTTAATGCATTTAGTCATAGTCCAAAACATTTCTCCAGTCCAATTTGATAGGTAGATATTCAAATGTCTGTCTGGGCACAAGATGATATACAGTGGAGGGGAAGGGTGAAGGAAATCCAAGAAGAAGATAAGGAGGAACTTCTTCTAGTGAAAATATCACTTGGTGCAAATTAAAGCTATTTATGGAAGAACAGTTCTGATGAATATCAAACTTCAGCCAGTAAGACAGATACCATAAAATTTACTTCAGCTTTCTAATTTTCTCTCTTTAATTCCTGGGTGTTTTTTGGGTTTTTTTTTTTTTTTTTTTTTTTTTTTTTTTTTTTTTTTGGTATGGGTTGGCTGTTTGTTTTTTTTTTTTTTTGCTGTAAGCCAAAAAATCTTAGTGAACCTGATTTTACAAAATGCAAAGCTTTTAGACAAAGTCAAGGAATAGAATAAGTAACATAGACGAATATACTGTACTTTTCTCTGCCATGAAAGATACGAAGAAATTGTCCCAGGTCTCATAGGAAGGTAGAGCTGACAAGGCATTGGAAAAATGGAAAAATGATGTAGCTACGTCTTTTGGATTGCGAATCAGTAGCAATATCTAAAAAATTGAAATATTTTATTTCTACTGGAAACAAAAGCAATAAACAACGTCATGATCAGCACCTTATGAAGTTGATTTCATATAGTTATTAGAATATATTTTCCAGATTAATCAAATTAATCATGCAGAATACAAATAGTATTAATCATTTAGATGAATACACACAAATACAAATTCTTTCTGAAACTTTCAACAACATTGTAGAAAGCCACTCAGGAAATTTTATAAACATAGTGTTTTACTGCTGGAAGGTTTGTTTTCCCCCACGTTTGCCTTGCTTAGACTGACGCAAAGGTATCAATAAGGATGAACTGAGATCTATTGAGATGAACGGAAGCTGTTAGCCATGCAAAAAAAGACAGCATACTACCTAAGTATAAAAATAATTTTTAAATTTGGCAGAAATGTACTAAATTGGCTTTCAAAGACATCTGATTGTGTGTTTCCTTACATGATATTTAAATCAGCACTCACCTTGGCTTTATTTTTGAAGATAGACTTTGGAAGGTTGCCAGGAGCAAGATGAGTTAATATAACTCTTCGAGAAGGTAACTTCTTCATTCGCTGCATTAACAATTGAAAGGAGGAAAGTAGACAGTGCCTTTATTACAAGTATTCTCCTTCATTGGCCTGTGATAAAATATTACTTTGCAAAATTTATTAACGGCTTTTGGCAGATCAATTATGCTTTATGATTGCTATCCTGGGATCTTAGTGGACTTCTCTCAGCAATAACCTTCAAAAGACCATAAGAATGAATATTTGGAAAGAAGGTTATCCATTGCTCATTCTCTTTAGTGTTAAGGAATTTAATATGTTCTGTTAGACAAGGTATAAAACCTAAATGTAATATGCAGAATCTAGCTGGAGATGTGATAAAGCTGAAGGATCCAAAGAAGAGAGTAGAGGTAATAAATAAGAGCTAGTAGAAGAGCCAAAAATCATTATTTCAATATATAGTTTTTCATGAAACTCTTCTTAAGTACAGATTATGTGACACTGAATTTCTGAAGTGTCTGTATTTCTAATGAGTATGTGCTCCTCTCAAGCCCCCTAGAGCGATCATTTATCCTTCAGCATTCGGTAATGCAGATGAGATTCAGTCTGGCCAGATGCATCCTACATAGAAATGGGATAGTTTCCATCAAAGACTGCAGTATTTCTCAAACCATATATTCAAATATTCAGTGTTTGAAGAACCACATTCTCACATCTTTAATAATTAAATTCTGTGCCCACCTCATATTTCTCAGTATCTCCAATTTCAAGATACGGAAATTCTTCTAGCTCTTCATCATTAACACTTTTTTCTTTATCAAGTCTTTTTTTTTCAAATGTGGCCACCAGATCACTTAAGATCTGACCTACCCAGTTTGTACCTGAAAGGGGAAAAAATACAGAATTGCATGTAAAGCATTGAGAAAAAGCATAAATCAATTTGCAAGGACAACCAAGAGGTAGCTGGTACTATCTCATGAATTGTCTGGTCTTCTTTAACATGTCAGCTGGCTATCTGGACAATCAGCCTTCAGGGCCCTACATTTGTTGTTACGTAACAATACATATCTTTCACCAACTTAAATGACTAAGTACATCACAGATTATATATTATAAGTAAGAAAGAACTATTGATTCAAGTAACAAATATAAGAGCAGATAGGGTGTAAACCTGTACCTCAAAACCCAGTGCATCATATATGTTTTCTGATGTGCTGTACAGTTTTATCTTGAGTAGAAAGATGGGTCACAGAACTTCAGCACTTCAGCACATACCAGATCTGAAACTGTGCTCTGTATGCTCATTTTCTTTACCAATACACAGTGTTTTATCCAGAAAACCTCTAAATTATTTCATATATATTTATTGTATTCTTATTAATAACATAAAATAGAGCTTGTTGAGAACTCGTATGATTAGCTTACCATTTCCTGACCTGTGGACACTGGTTCCTACATCTTTATCATTACAGTCCTAATAAGTGCATTTTGATGCATATCATTTCTTCGAAAAGAAAATAGGCTTTAAAAAAAACACAAAATCTTTACAAACCTGTAAACTGTGACTATCTTCTGTAAGATGCAGTGAATCCTATTGCTGAAGGGTAAATATAACTATATTTAATATTTAATATATAACTATATTTAATATATAACTATATTAAAATGGATATGTAACACATCCAAGAGCCTGTGTAGGATACTTTCAGGCAGAAGCAGCAGCTCCATCAAAGATCTCTTGATTTCCCAATAAAGATCAGTGTGACTAATTCCAGCATTTACAAAAATGTCTTTTTTATAACAATAGATTTCAGAAAATTTTGACATGTATATGAAAATCAAAAAGTAAAATATATGTATCATCGCACATGAAGGCACCAATAAGTCCATTATATTAAGAAATACAAAACTACAAAACTATTACCAACGATATTACGTAACTGCAAGAACAGACCCTGCAATATCAAGAAATCTAGTTATCTCAAGTTTGAGAATTGCATTTTGATTCTTTCCAATTTGTGCATTCACATTCATAACTAAAAAAAATTAAAGATAATAAAAATGTATCACACTATAGCCAAGAAAATCAGATTTCTCAGTCACTTGCAAAATTTCCTATATAATGTTCTCATAATTAGCTCTGTTGTATATGTTTGAGGAAAAAATTAGTTCTGGAAACTTTTCTGAAAACTGTAAATACAATCTACTTATTTGTTATTACACAAATTAATTAATGAAGAAAGCAAGCAGTATTCACCAGATTTAGGATATCCTGCCAAAATGACATCATCACTTCTGGCTTCAAAGGACTCCATGGCTCTGAACACTTCAAGACTGCAAAAAGCAACAGGGTAGAGAATCCCCTTGTAAGAAAAAAGTAGTTCATCACGGTCCATTGCATTACCAGCAACTATTGCCTTATCTATCACATCAATAAATTTCTTCCTAGATTTTTCCATTCTTCCCTCTCACACACGATCTCTGTCTCAATGTGAAATGCTACACAGACAGAGAGACACCAGTTGCCACATTACAGGGCTTCTTCTTTTCTTTGTATTTTCTTTGTGGAGGGGGTGGAGGGGGGTGGGACACTGTAAGCAATAATTTACTACTCTTTCTGAAACTGTAAAAAAAATACATAACTCCAGACAAAGACCTTAAGTCATCTGAACATCTCAGTATCAACAGAAATTGGATATAATTGCATAAGAGAAACAGAAAAACATAGTTGCATCCTAGGTTAAAGCATTAATCTAACTTGAAAATATCACATGCCAAAAATATGCAAGTAATTACAGCACAGAGTTGATAAACAAAGTACATCAAAATTCAAGAAGGGCATGAATTACAGACTTCAGTTTCAATAGCACAAGCATATTCTTTATATCTGTTCTGATCTTCTCAGTATTCACTCTGGGATGTTTTCTTACATAACTTTTTTTTATTCTTTTTTTCCATAGAAATTGGATCAAATGTATTAGGACTGGGAGATAAAATATTCATTATATTAGTGAATGCATTAGCAGCTAGTCTTTTTTTTTTTTTCTTTAATTTCCCTTGTCATGAAACATGTACTAGCATTATGGAAATGTGTTTAACTGGGATATTTACTTGCTGGCTAAAGAAGGGCTGGGAGAGTAGGCATTTCCTAAGGAAGGAAAAAAAAAAAGATATATAAATGGATTCTTCTACTCAAGCCAATAGCATTGCTGGACTAGGTTTTCCATAAAAGAAATATAGATCAGTTACTTCCTGAAGAATTATCTAGAGAAATTTTGAGAGAGAAAAGTCTATTGGATCTCCAATGTATTTTTCCCAGAGAAAGAAGTTAGGCCAGCCTTTCCCTGGAGACATGCATTATCCTTAGGAACCAGAAAAACAGTATTACTGAAGAAAAACTAATTAGAAGAAATAAGTCATGTGGAGGGATTTTGAGAAGAATTGAATTTCTTGGCATAAAAAACGAATCAGGCTTAATATTAGTAATGTGAGCTTTTGATATAGCCACCAACCATGACACCATAACTGAAAGAACAGGAGTGAACTTTGCACTGTATGTGTTGCATAAGAAAGACCCTCTGATCCTGCCAAATGCTGAATCAGGAGACTGATGGAAAACATCAGTTGGTTTAAAGTTTCAAAGAAGCAGCTTTTAAAACATGGAGATTAAAAAGAGATTAAAGGATTTGGTAATCTCCAGATTAACGGCGTCTGTTGGTCAAGCCACCAATGTGTCTCTAAATGTTTCTCATTTCCCATACTTATCAGTATCTTTCCAGGTCTTTCCAGGTTGTGGAGTTTTGCAGAAAGAGACTGGTGACTTTGCCATGATAGCTACAAGACACTGCCAGCTGTCAATTACCTGGTGAGATGATCTGTTTATGAAGAGCCATTCCCAGTTAACGAAACAATCCCATACATAGCCTCAGAATTCAGAGACTGTCCCCTCAGATGGCATATGAGAAAAGATAGGTTTCCATAACTATCTCTGTGATCTGCATTTATCTCATTAAGATGCTGGAAAAGTCTTCAAAAACAGCTTTCCAGGGTGATCTAAAATGGATCTTGATCCACTCATTATGGTACTCTAAAAATATATGTAATATTGATAGAGAGATGAAAAAGAAATCCTCAGTACAAGATACAGGTTCATATTCTTCACTGCTCTAAACGCTGTTCAAGCTTGGGTGTAATCCTCTGTAAAATTATTGATGATCCTCCTTCATCTTTTGCTTTCTTCCTGAACTGTACAGTCTCCTTCATGACAGTCACCACCCCTGACCAGAACAAAGCTAGTCCCACCATCGGGTTAGATGACCACCCCTAGTCTGTAAATTAATACCCAGCTCTGTCTTTCCCATATGTCCCATCTAAGCTTTCACAGCTTTTTTTTCAGCCTCAGCTTTGTTGTCTCTGAAGAATTTTCACTGTCTTAATCTCCTCTCTGAAACAAGGTAAGAAATAAGTAATTTTCCACATCTTTCATCATTCTTATTAATGCACGGGCTAGCTGCCAAAGTACAGATGCAAGCTTGACTTCTCCCTCCTGTTAATGCTCCACTAAGTAATGAGAAAGAACATGCCAGCAAATACAAAGAATTGCGTGACACACTGTGCTGGAGAAACTGTCTTCTTGTACTATCTAAACATGTTAGCTGTATGCTAACAGACTTCTCAAACCACCACCAAAAGAGATTTATTTTGTTTGTTTTGTCTGATCTTCACAAATATTGGTGAAATGAACTTAAAATATATATATAGGAGAACATTAACTAGAACTTTATCACCACATAAATGTGTAGAAGTGGGAGAATGAAAAATGATCCAATTCACAGTGTTGGTCAAAAAGTAACTTATTGCATCATCATGTATCAGTACAACCTGACCTTAAATGTAAAAGAGGAAGAAGAAAAAACAGGCAGGAGAGGACAAAGAAGAATGTTAAGCCCTTTACAAAGCATTCCACAATGTTTTGGAGGATTTTCTGATTTTTGCTAATGCGCTAAATGTTCTGTTTTCTGCAAACCTTTCATTAATCTCACTATGGTCAATACCTCTGAAACAGACTTCTGGTGTCTTTAGTATAAAAGTAATTATGTCATACAACGTGTAATGAGTTGATACAAATGAGGCTAAGCACATAACGCAAATGTAATAGATGTTAAGTAGAGCTGATTAAGGATGTATCTTGAAACAGGATACTCAGATGCCCACCAAAAAAAAAAAAAAAAAAAAAAATAGAACTGCCACAGTTCACAGGGGGGAAAAAAATAAAAAATTCCAGTATATGAACTGGATCACAAATCAGGATGTTAAAGCAAACATAATATGCTCAGTGGAACACATGAGACATAAAAGTATATATCCCTATGGGAACTGGAAGTATGCAGTTTGGGTCTTGAACATGAAGTCAAAATTTTATTTTTTCACAGAGATAATTCTTCGCCTAAATATCATATTTTAACTGTTTTGTGTGTTGCCTTCTTTTTCACTTAATTTATCAAAGACATTTAGTTTTCTTCAAATATTGTAGCATCAGAACTAAAAAGTCAAGCAAAATGAACTATAGAACATTTTTCTGTGATTTGTTTCAGAACATATTTCACCACGGATTTTGCCGAGTCCCAGTCATGATACTGTAAATTAATCCTTCAGAAAGTTTAAGATGAACTGCCAGTGCATAAGCTAATCCAGACACTGAATACCTTGCCACCAGGACAACTTGGGCATTTGCCCATAGTTCATCCTATTTACTCTTGGCCTGTTCTCTAGCATATTCTTTATCCTTTCTTTGTTTGCAAAGGACTGAGCTGACTGCACTCCATGTTTTGTGTTCTGGAGGAGGATGAGGACTGCGGTGTACTACTGGAAGAGAGGTTGGGAAATGGAGGGTTATCAGTTTGCATCCATAGCCTCCTATCCTCATAGAGATTAGTACAGGTGTGAGAAGCTGATGTAGCAAATAGCAGGGGAAACAGTAATTTGGGTATCAGTTCTCTAGAAATACTCTCTTCACAATTATCTGTGCCACTTTAGCCCAACTAATGGTTATTAAGATTAATGATATTTAGTGAAGGAATAACAGTTAAAAGCTCAAATACATCATTTAGTGATAAATACTTTTTTGATGCTTTCATGGTGATCTTACCAGCATAACTCTTTTTCTAAGTGTCACACCTAACAAATCCTGAGAAAACATGAGATGTCTATAAGCAGAGCTTCTCCAGGTGTTTGCTCTGCATTTCATAGTAACCAAAGCTACAGGGACAGAGTCTAACATTCTGACCATATATAGAGATAACTACACATCAAACAAATAGAGGTGCTGACATGTTAAGGGCTTTTATCTTTCCTAATCAGATGTCAATGAAAAAAAATCCACTGATTTCTATCATACTCGGATGAGAATTTAATTATGGCAGACACCGTTCTGCTAGGAAGTGGTCTGATTTGATATGGTCTCTATAAGGGCTCCCAGGTGCCAAACGGCCCTTAGCCTTCTAGAGACATGGAAGAGAATTTTACAATAGGAGAGGAAAGAGAATATTTCTTTAACATGGAATATAGTGAAGCACGGACATTAGAATCCTCTGTATGTGATCAACTAAAATACTGCCCAGTAAACACACTGTTTAGCACAATGTTCAGCATTAAAATCTGGTACACATTATAAACACTGTAACGACAGGTGTAGTCTGAATACTATTACACTTGTCTGCAACCTTGACCTTTCTCTGAAGTATTATGGAACAGCAATTCTGATCAGAGTTCAAGAATTGATTACCAGCTCTGTTTGTCTTTCAGGCTTTGCAATGCACACCGTATTTTAACTTTGTTCCAGAAGTGGTTGCTGCAAGTAGTCCACTGAACATTTGCCAATTTACAATCTATGCTTTTCCTTTAAAAGATTCCTGTGGTCACTAGTGCTGCGTAAAAGAAGCAGTACCAACCCAGGTTTTACTATTCAATATAGATATTTTCATAGGAAACAACATTTATATCTGTCTACACGACAAGTGAGGTGAGGGGTATTTTTTATTTCGGTTTGGTTTTGTTTTTGTGGGTTTTTTTTTTCAAGACAGATGTTTTATCTCGTTTTATATTATTAGTGGATGTGATTTCTTTTCAAGCCTGAGCAATTCTGCCAGACTACAGGGGGCCCCTTGGTAAGGTGAATATCAGCTCACTGCTTCACTTATCCAGCAGGTTGTCCCAGGCTCCGGGATGAGTGAGTAGCCACAGACCAACTCCTTGGTTGTGACATGGGTGAAATAAAGTTGACTAGCCTGCTTTTTGATCACCTTAATACACTAACTGGACAGTAGCTGTACTTTGGGAACTCTTTATCAACTAGCTAGTTACTCTTGCCATAGTCAATATCTCTAGATTTACTTCAGTATAAGATGGCAATGACACTTTGGAGAAAAAGGCTTACAGATGTCATCTAATACATGGGTGT